TAATTCTTCTGTTAATTTACTCAAATTGTCACTTGAATTTAAGAAGTAAACTTTAAGCACTCATCTTTTGATACAGTGCAACATATTGTATGACAAATCTCCTCCTTTTCACCATTTTGAATCTGCTGCCTCTCAAGTTCATTTGTTGATGTACCCCCTCCCATTCTTGTTCTCTACAAGCAACAGTAAGAAATCAGTCCATGGAACTGCCACGGTGGTTCCATGGACTAGATTAATCAATGCTCTTACTTGTTACTACCGATTTTTTCCAAGAAAATGTTCTTCTGTTTTGTAATGCTGATGCAACACTATTAATGCTTTTAACAGCACAATGGCTAATGATGGAATGAAAATATATTGTATTTTTTCTCACTCAACATCCACATTATTTAGTCCCCCTCAAATCAAGATTATATTGTACTAAAAAAAAGTGGGTTGGTTTGTGATTTTTTTCCCCCTTTATTCTGACCAGTAGCTCACTCTGTGTTAAAGTAAACCAGTATGTTATTGTGCACTGGTATTATAAGCATATATATGTGTGTGTGTATATATATATATATACATATATATATATGTACCAACATACATGTTTCTGTAGGGGATCTTTCCACAAAAGGCTTAACATGCTGTGTCTAAATTATTTTCTTTTTGTTTGGAACAGTGTGGTTTTGGAGCAAAACATGACTGTCTCCTTTTACTGCACGTTGATTCAGTTTTCAGAAAGGTTTTGTTTATCATTTTATGAGAGTTTATTCAAGTTGTGTGGTAATTATATCACTTTTTAAAATATAAAATTTTCACTGTTCATTTGCAATTATAATATATTCCTACACACCATCGCATATAGCTAATGACACGGTAAGCTTATGGTAAAAGTTTTCTTTTGTCTGTTTTGTTTCAAATGTTAATTCTCTCAGTTGTAGAACCTTCTACATTCATTGCTTTGATAAACATTAGTAGGTACATGTGTAAAAAATATCATGACTACAGAAAGATATTACTGGAATACAGTGTTATCAGTGAAAAATATCAAGATCTAATTGGAACACACTGAAATCTTTCGGTGATAAATCATGCGCTTTTTATTGTTACATTTTACTATCTTTTTAAATTAGTTTTGGAAGCATAAGTGGCTTACTCACATCAAGTACAAACTAGAAATGGCTGCACTGAAGGGAAGGACATATCAGTCCTAAGTTACAAAAGCAAAGTTGTCCATCCAAATGGTCATTTTGCCATACTCTGTTAAAAAAATATTTTGCCAATGGATGGTATCATGGGTCACTGATTTATTTCTCCTAGTGATCTTCACCATGGTAATGCATGAGCGTCTAACCTATTTATTGCTGAGACTATAGATCTGAAACGTTCCAATGCTGTCATGGAAATGTTTGTAGGAGGCAGTTTTTCATTAGTGACCACTTCAAAGTGGCTATGTTCATGCCAGCTGAACTTTGTATGACTTTTGGTTAGAATGGTTGTTTGTTAGGGAAAAGCATTTTATCTGCCCCTTTGGAAGTTGTTTAAGTGTGTTCTCCTGGTTTGTGGATCATCTGTATTTGCAAGCACACTGAAGATACATTGCAGGTTCAAGGACAGTTCATTCATTAACCTTTGTTTAGAGATTTGGGAGTGAAATTCTTGTGGATTCTTCTAGAACTAATTTCAGATTTCTGCTGATATTTGGTATACAATAATCCTAAGGCTAAATATAGAAAGGAAAAAATGTTTACCCTATTGCAACATGAATCTGAAAAAAAAATTAAAAAAAAATAATTTTTGAGTTTCTTTTTTGTAACAAGTTTAATTTCTTGTAGGTTTTCAGGGTAGGAATTCAGCTTCTCTGTATGTTTTGTCAATATAAAATACACAGGTCATACACCGTGGTTTGCTTTTTGCAATTTTAAGGGGCATGTTTCATTTACTAACATCACTAGTATTTTATAGGCACTTTTTTCAGATGATAGGCAAAAATTGAAGCAGAAAAATGTTACTGCCCCGTCTTTTAAAACCTTTTGTTTTCAGTAGTGTTTTGCAATGTTGACACTTGCACAATATGTATATAAATATACGTATGTCAGTGCTTAACACATAATACCTCCAATGTGTTAGGTATTGCTGACTTTGTGTAAGTACAACATAAATCTATTGTAAAAAAGTGTTTATAAAGAGAATAAATAATAGTACTTTACCTTTCATAAAAGGCAAGAACAACACAAAGCAACAGTGGATGAAGATGTATGTTATTTCAACACATACTTCATTGCAACTTTATTAAATGCAGCAAAGCATTAAAAGGAAAATAGCATAAACTTTTTATCAGGAGTTTTAACAAAATCCTCAGAACACTTGAAACAGCAAATGGTAAAGTTTAAATCTAGTAAGTGAGAATCTGACTAATGAATTAACTATTGTAAAATGAAAGGCTGGAAACCTTAAACAAGACTACACTAGTCAAGAATGTAAAATGCTGGGAGCAGGCTTAGACATTTTCAAGTTTAAATTATGAACCATAAATCTTTGGGTCTTTATGTCTGCATCATGTGCTGTAGAAACAGTAAGGCAGGAGCCTGTTCCCATTCTTGGTATGTAGTTGTGGAATGGGGTTACGGGCATTTCTGATTTAAAAAAAAAATGATAATAATCACAGCAGTTTATTAAGTACCTTTATTAAGTACCTGGGGGAGCACCCCACCATGGACCTTACCAGGCTTCCATGTCTGCCTTACTGTTACCACTTCTGGGTAAGCACCTTGCTTGTCTGTAGAGACTGGTGGAATGTGTCAGGAAAGAGTAGAAGCCAAAGCTCTGCTTTCTGCAACTTTAAGGGGTATGTTTCAAATGCCAATATTATAAATACTTTGCTGGCACTTTTTTTATTTTTTTTTATTTTTTTTTTTTGATAAGCTGTTAGACCAAGCTTTGCATGACAGAGAGCACAACTTTGTTTGCATGACAGAGAAAACAACACGAGTTGTCCTTATGTCCCAAGGAAGATGACGGTAGGGGAGGTGAGAGGGAGGTGGCCATGGCTCTATGGAGATGGTGGTGATGGGGCAAGAGGTCACTCCAGCTCATTCCAGTGCTGGTGAGGTCTGTCCACAAACTGGTGGTGGAGGCACAAGGGAGCCTCAACTTTGGAAAAGGCAGATCTTTGAGACAAATCCCATGACATGGAGCATGGCTGCTGCTTGGCACGGCTGCAGGCCACCCCATGGTGCCTGACTCGGGAGCTAAAGGCTGCTTACCAGAGGCCTGCCAAGAAGTAAGCAGGTGTAGCCTATGTGTAACCTAAGTGCTCTGACTCTGCCCTGGGGTAGGAGTGGAGAACTAGACTTAATGGTTAGGATCCATTAAAGGATTTCAAATCAAGTGAATGTGTGAGACCAATTTACTATCTATCAATCCTTTATACCAGGATGAGTTTCTGCATTTTGTTTTCTTGCATCTGAAAAGGAAAGCTCTGAGGGTAAAAATTTAGAATTCAGAAATATGCCAGTTTTAATAGTTGCAATAATAGTACTTTTTCTTGAAGGATCTGAAATAAGTTAATGCATTCAACTTGTCAGACCATAATTGTGGATTTCAATTATGTAATAAATGCCCCTTTTATTTAGTTCATGCAGTGTTTTTCCTTGACTTTTAAAACAAACAGCTACACACAGCAAAAATTTGTAGGAAATGCAGTTTGGTTATGAAAACTTCAAAAACAAATCACCTATTATGGGAGCAAATTCCCTTATGCTGAGAAATAAAAACCTCAACAAAATTTTTATTTGCAGAAGAAATATCAGCTTTTTGCAAAATGTTTAACAACTTCTTAGAAAAGCCGGCTTTGATTGTACTTAATATTTTGGGTTTTATTGAAAAAGGTGGAATATTTCATTAGAAGTTTTCTGCCTCTTGCCTTTTGGTTTGTAGTAATTTTTCACTAATGAGAGACAATGTTTTCCGTGCAACTTTGCTAATGAGACTTTCCTGGAATTCTTGTATGTGAAGACATATAGTGGCTGAAGCTAAGTCCTTCAGAAACTTATAAAGTGTTACTTAAATCAATATTATCTGCAGAGCAAGTGAAAATAAGTGTGTGTGTTGTTTTAAACCTGGCAATGTTGCAATATTTGATTACAGCATGTGGTAAAATTGAGATTAAGTAAAACTACTTGAATATCTGATGTCAACACTAAAACAGAAATTTGGGTTCATGAATTAAAGATACTGCTCAGAAGCCACCAAGGTTTCTGCAACACTGTAGACCAGCTTGCATTAAAATGGAAAAGAAGAATAGCTGGGATTACATTCCTTGTTCTCTCAATCTGGACCAGTTTAATTTTCTAATACTCTTATTCTGAGTGCAAGAGGATCTTTTCCTAATTTTTAAAAAATAGTATCACCTTTTCTTTTTCTCTCACCAAAAATCATTGGGCTTAATTGCAGGATAGGCAATTGAAACAAAGAGTAGATTGGTTATTTTTATTTTCCTCTATGGCCCTGTAGTTGTAGATGCACTAAATGAGTCAAAAACTGTGAATAAACCACAGTCTTTTGATGAAGTGAGATTTAATTCACTATCTGTTTAAAGATGTCTTGTTACTCATCTGGATGGTGCTGTAGTTCTTAAAAAGGAAGATTAATCAGATGGTTTCCTGTGTTGAATATGTTCTTAACTGGTTGCTAGATGTTCTTGTTGTCATGAATCCAATCTCTAATGACGATGAAGATTATTTCTTTAATAGCTTACCATGGATAATACCATAAATACAGAGCCCACACTAGCTATGCTAGGTAGTTTAAGCAACTATTTTACACTGCTGCCAAAAATCTCAGAAAAATATGCAGAAAATCTCACAGAAATAAATATTTTTTAAAATGTTTAATGAAAAGAACCAAGGATCTGGAATGAAGGTTGTTTTACTCTTTATTAAGCCAGATTTACATGTTTGTTGTTTGAAAATGTTGAGCACGTTACACTAAAAGTTGAAGTTTGTTTTCTCTGACAGGTCCTGGTACGTTTATCAATTTGTAGTTCCATGGATGTCAGATCCCCAAAACCTCTGCATAAATTTTAAGATCTTTGTCTACCATCACATGTGAAAGCAGAGAAGTTATACACCACAATTACTAGTAAGTTATTTTATTTTTGAATCATGGTAAAATGTTGAATGCATGTCATACGGACGTGACATTCATTTAATTTACTCAGTCCACAACCTCTTCAATCTGCACTTTGATTTGTTTCAGATGCTCTGGTGAGAAACACTAGGAAGAGATATGAATTACAGAATTTAATATATATATGTATTTTTATTATAATTATTATTTTTCCTCCTCACCTTATATTATGCCAGCTCTGGCCTCCAGCTGTTATTCATAAATTTCTTCCTGAGATATATTTCAAAAAAAGATCTTTATTTGTTACAATATGGAGGAAACAATGATCTAGTTGCTTTTAAAGCAGCATATGTTTAATATCTCTAGCTCAATTCTTTCTTCCAAGGAACCTTTTAATAAAAGCTCTGTTTGTGTGAGAGAAAAATTAAGATATGTTTGATAGATATTAGGGAGATGATGCAAATCAATACAAAGCCAGAGAGAAATGTTTCTGCATCTTACTACAGCACTACTTGTTAATCTATAGTGTGATTATATTATACTCTGCATATACTGTACTATTAGTATATCTGTTGTGAATTTGGAGTGTGAGCAATGCTGCAGGTCTTTCTCAGACCTGTTTGTGAAAATTGTGTTGCAAATATTTCATTTTGTGTTCAAATTGTTCTTCACACTGAGTTTTTCAGACTGGACTTTTGATGTTAGACATTTGGTAAATCCAAAGGAAAATTTGATTTCTTCCTCTCATCTGGGACAATAATAAGCTATGGTTGTTTTCAGCATTTTTTGGAACACCTTTTGAATTACAAATCCTTCGAGTACCAAAATATGTGTTACCCATTCTCCTACCTGCAGGGCCTTTCTGGCTGGTGCAATTTGCTCTTCTGTTAAATGGCTACTCAATAACCTTCCAAGGCTGCATGAGACCTGTGACATAGTCACTGAAAGGCACTGTAGGTAACATCAATGAACCAGTGAGCTGTACTTATTTCTGTGAACACTGGCCATTTTGCTATGCTGGAGACCATGTCACAGATCTCTTGACAAGTCCAGACACAGGAACAGTAGATTTATTTTATTTTATTTATTGACATTGTGCTATACAGATAAGCAAAACACACTATATTTTATGAATGCAGACACTTTCTTCCAGTTTCTTGACTGTATCACACGCTGCCTTATTCTTCTCTTCTTCAAAGAACAGCTAATTTTTCTCACAGCTGTACAGAAAGGTTCAGATTTTAGAGAATTGTTTTATTTTCCTCTGCTGTAGTTAAATTACTTAGATTCTGAAAGGTGTCAATTTATTTCTCCTACTTAAGAGTCCTCTGCAGTAGTTCTTTGTTTCTTGTGTGAACGTTATGCCAGATTTACTGTAGACATCGTAATAAAGAGTAGGCAGCTGGAACTATGCTTTTCTAATGTCAAACAATCTCTGTCAGCATGATTGTTCTTCCTGTATAGATTATTTTTGTTTGTGTTTGTTTTTCTGCTTATATAGTAAAGCCACAAGGGATGTAACACTAGCCAACCTGCAATGTCTAAGCCCTCATGTAGTTGAATTTCTCAGTGTGCCTGTAGAAAACCAAACCATGCAAATCCCATATTGGATGGCTAACACAAATCAGGTTCATTTCCACAGTGCAGCTTTGAACAATTCTAAGTATTCCTGTCATGTTGCATTTTACATAACATTGCCATTATACATGGAATACATTTAGACATCTCAGAGGTGAACATAATGGGTGTAGTGACGAGGAATTAGAAATTGTTGGGAATGCTTGCTGACCTTAGCAAGCTCAGAAATACAAAGAATCAATCTGTCTATCATGCAGATCTTGGTAAAAAAATAAAGAATAAAATGCATTTTTGGTACTAAAATAATGCATTTTTGTCAAAGTAGCAATCGTCTTCTCCAGGATGACCTGATATGTATTATTGTATTACTGATAACATGTATTATTTACATGTTTCTACTTAAATGAACTGTATTGCTTGCATGCTTGCTTTCTCATTTTGCTCCTAAATGGCTTTTTAAAATGTTTTTTCTTAATCAGACATTTTCCCAGTCTTCACCTCTCTCCTGGTGAGTTGGTGAGTTTATGCCTTTGCTCAGACGTAGATTTCTTGTGAGATCCGAGGACAAGTGGTATGAAGAGGCGGGACGCCTGCTTTTCTAAAATTTGCTTTGCTAAATTTGGAGTTTTCATGGCCTGTGAATCACAGCTCTTTAAATAGATGGAAATTATGCTTGCAGAAGGGGTGGCAGCTCCTCCTACTGCTATGGTTGCAGGCAAATGGGAGCACAGAGCTGGGAACTAACTTCCCACAGAGCCAAATCAACAGCCAGAAGGCAATAGGAGCTTGTTCTTCCAGGGGAAAAGGAATCCTTACTCCCTTCAGAAGGCACTGTATGTAGCTGAGTGCTGTGTTCAACAGGAGCTGAGAAAGAGAAGGAATCACTTTTTACAGATGAGAGCCTGCTATTCAGCAGGGTGGTGTTAATTGACTTCCAAGAAAGGGAGAGGCCCTTCCAAAGCACCAATATGACTACGACTACCTCAGCATCTCCAAAATGAGTAGTGGCACTGTGATGCCAAAACCAAACAAACAAACAAACAATCCAAACCCTGAAAAGGTGTTGCACTCATTACTAAGCTTACACACATAATGACTTCCCAGACACATTTTGTACTCTATACCCCATTTCACATGTTCTTTTTTTGCCTGAAAAAATGACAAGTTAATAATAAGCTAAACAACTAAAAGATTAAGAGATTTACAGTTCTAAAGTAAATTTTATTTATTTATTTATTTATTTATTTTTGTACACATAGAAACCTCCTCAAAGCATTTAAGACTGTTTCAAAGATGTCAAGTTTGCATGTGCATGTTCAAGTAATTATGTGCTATCCTCCTTCTCTTGCTATGGCTATGCAGGAACGTTTCAACAGCTGAAAAGCATTTGGAAGTCACATCCAGAAACATCCGGACACCTGTGTTACCACCTGTCTCCACTCTGACTTAGGTAGAAAGTCCCTCCAAGTAGTTGTTTCTCAACAGAGCAAGATCAGGTCAGTAAGTCTCTTCACAGTATCAAAAGCTGTGAGCACTAAAAGCTAAACTGTGAGGTGAAGACTCTTCACAGGATGGATATTTTATATTTTTATATAATGTGGTACATATAACTGAAAGGAACCTCAAATGATAACATTGTGAATTATGACAAGATGCTGGTTCTTCTAGCTACTGACAGGCATTTCACTGTGATGACCAGGTGGCTGAGAAGCACTATGTCTGTGTCAATGTTTCCTGTTGCTGCAGGAGTTCTGTCCAGTGACTTTCACATCACAGGTGAGTAAAATTCATGTAGTAGTATATCATTTTGGAATTAAGCAGGAAGGCAAACTCAGTTTTAAGCTGGCAAAGAAAAAAAATCTTTACAGCCCTGAGTGTGTGTGTGTGTGTGTGTGTGTGTATATATATATATATATATATATTATTTTTTTGGGGGGGGGGCGGGGGGGTTGTAGGTCAGTATTCTTTGCAAATAATGGCCGAGTTGCCTCTAATAGAACCTTCCATAGCAAATTTTATGTATTTTGTCAACTTTTCTATGTTGTATGTAATTTTTCATCATTTTCAGTTAAGAGAAGTCATAAACACCCATGGCAATCTATAGGATTTTATTTTTTTTCAAATGCCCACTTGCAAAGGATAACATTTATTTTAATCTTGTTTGCTGACTTTCAAATAAATGCCCTGGTAGTGTCTGAAGATTACTTGCAAAGCATTATATAGTATTAGATGTGGATTGTGTATGTGCTTTTGGCAGTTACTTTTGTGGATACATATAAAAGCATGAATAGCTTTTCTTCAGCCTTTTACTGAAAACTTTTTTCTTGCTCTTTACTGTAGGTAAGAAAGATTGACCTAAATAATTCTTTCATAGGAGACTGTAGAATGTAGGACATGAAGAGCCCATCGCAGCATTTCTTGGATATTCTGAATTGACTTGAACATGTCATTTATTCCCCAAATGGCAAAATAGTTGGAGATGCTGTCAGCCTGAATAATTAAAATGAAAATCAACTCTAATTACATGATCAAATGCGTTGCCAAAAGTATCATAATAGAAAATATTTTTGCTCTGAGTGATGTTTTACTGTAAAATACTTTCACTTGTAATATTGCAGTGATGTGTCACCTAGATTCCACCTTAAAGCTTTCATCTTTCTCTATGTAGGTTATACAGCGAACAGCATTTCGATCAGAAGTCTCATTGTGCATATTAATCTGAGGGGGATTTTTTCACTGTTCATATGCAGGTTTTGAGACAATGATTTTAAAAGGCTGATGGGATTTTTGGTATGTCCTCTATGAATAGTTACTATAATTGCTATGAATTTGGCCAGGTGTAGCTAAATAATGTTTCAGGCAAAGAAGTAAGAGGAAAGCTTTTTACACAATAATTTCCTGGGTAAGGTTTAACAAAATGAAAACTCATCAGAAACCCTGCTGGGATTCCATCAGCAAGCATTTATTTGCAGTTGCTGGTACACCTGCTTACACAGTAATAATACACCAGTGAGTTAAGTCACTATGCCAATTCAAATTAACTTTATTTTGAATCAAATGCTAGATTTTAAAACATATGATGGGCAAAAAACTATAATGCTACTAGATGCAAGCAGGAAACTGATGGGACTGAAAAAAAAAAAAAAACCACAACACACACACACATTTATTCTGGCCTTTTCTATCGCTGTTCTTCTGTATATTGATACATCCCATAAGAGTACCTAGTCTATTTACAGTGTGTATCTGAAACATATGCTTTTCCCCTCTGCTATAACTGGATTTTCTTTAGCAGGAGCCTTGCCATCTGCAGTATTATCTTTTTTTTTTTTTTTTAATTTTTTTTTTTTTTTTTTTCCCCCGAAGATGATCCTGTATTTCAGTCTGGGGAGAAATTTCTTGAAGTGGACTTTTTTCTGTTTGCTCACGACCAGTGGGATTCTGGCTTTCATAAAATCAGTTTGGTCCTGTATGTGCTTGGTTTTGGCGATGCAATCACTAATCTTAGAAAAGAATCTAACACTATGCAATGAGTTTCTCAGTCTCTGGACTGACTTCCAGTGTTTGAATCTTAACGTGTTTTTTTTTTTCCATAAATAATTTTCAGACAAAAATCTTACTTTGTGTGCTGGGATTATCAAGGTATCATGGGAGAATCAGGTGCTCAAATCCCACTGAAATATAAACTCCATTATAGTCCCTTGGAGATTTCAATCCTAGGCTACTGCACTCAATGATCAAAATGATTAAGTGTGGGATTTTGAACCTAAACAGAATAGTAAGAATACAAATGTTGAGCCACGTAACAACATTTGAACAATAGAGATCTGAATGTTATCCTGTCTTTTATATTACAAATTTATTCAAGCATTCTCTTCCCTTAAGCGTTTTTCCTTTGTTTCCAGAAACTAAGCACAGATTTACCTTGGATTCTGCTAGCACAGCTATTTTAGTCAAGAGTGTGAATGCAAAGCCATGGTGACAGAAGAGCAAGCAAGACACTTGTTCTGGCACTGAAGCCCCTGGCATCTTGTGCAAACACATAGAGAGGGTAACAAATGTTCATGAAGCAGAAAGCTCACACATAGATCGGTAGGCCTTACAGAAACACTTTATGAAGATAGATGATTGCTGGTGTATTAGCAGGAACCCCTTCTATGGATGCACAAGTAAAATCGTAAAATACCATAGTTTCCAGAATCACTCCTTGTTCTGGAGCCCAGTTATCCACTCTACAGGTAGTAGAGTGGACTACGGGACTTATTGAAGAAAATCCTCCTGGAAAGCATTTCCAGTCACAAAGGATGAGAAATTTGATGAGGAATATGTATCATGGGTATATGAAGTGAAAATCATGCTTAACCATGCTTAACCAACATGACAACCTTATAAAATGAGGTTACCATTTTGTTGGATGAGGGGAGAGTAACTGATATTGTTTATGTTTAGTAAGCCTTATGACACAGTCTCATGTAACATTGTCGTGAACAAGCTGAAAAAGTATGGGTTACATAAGTGGATAGTAAGTGGATTGAGAACCATATGAATGGCCAGGTTCAGAGGGCTGTGACCAGCATCAAACAGTACAGTTTGAGGAAAGTCACTAGTCTGGAAAGTAACACTGGAATGGGTTAGTCAGAGAGGTCATGGAGTCTCCATCTTTGGAGACATTCAAAACCCAGCAGGACGTGGTCCTAGACAGTCCAATCTGTCTGAACTTGCTTGGGCAGAAGAGTGAAATAGGTGATCTTAAGATGTCCCTTCCAATGTAAAAAATTACTTGATTCAGTTATATGCTCTCTCCATCTATGTACAAAAGTGTGTGCATTAGGACACTAACACAAAACTGCCATTCTATCTACTCCGGAATATTTTTGCCATGAATGGTAGCACTAGTGCAGGGTTAGGCAAAGGATGGGTTCCAAGACAACATAAGCATTGGATACAGAGTGCCATCAGCTCTATTTGAATTCAGGAGATTTGCGGAGATGTTCATCTTCCATTCTCCTTTGTGATACTTCTCAAACTTGTCACTATTAATTTTTACTATTTAATGGTAAAGCTTTCAGATGCCTAAGATGTTGGTTCCATTCTGTACTGCTCATTCAGTCCTACTAGGCAAAATGATGTTGGCCTCAATGCACATCAGATGAATGTCGGGTTCCACTTTTAAACTATATTCAAAATTTACCAACATATATATGATTTGCCTGTAGTTAAATAACTAAAAGGGCCTGAGAGTATGTACAGGCAGACTTCAGTGTGCCACAGGGTTGTCTGGGGTTGTCTGTTTCATCAAGAAACAAAGTGAACCACAGGACAAATTGTATCTTGAACCAGTTTCATTTTATGCTGCTCTAGGAGAGTTCTTGATTCTAAGAGAAAGTCAGCATCATTGCTTTGTGATGAGTATGTGTGGGGAAAAAAAATCTTGCACAACTGAAGCTGTAACTTCCCCTCATTTGGCAGAGTACTTTAACACTTTCTGCTGTACACCAAGCTACTGAATACCAAGCAAGTGACCCACTGTACTTTCACTCACAGTCAGCAAGCTGGATCTTACATTAAGTCTGGCAAACAAAGAGGATTATTTTTAAGAAGCTGGAAATCCTGTAGCCAGGTCAAATATTTCAAAAGAATCTGTATATTTGTCTTTCATCTAGCTATTTCCCCAGCTGCATTATTCAAGCAACAGGAATCTTTCTAGCTCAGAAGGTACACGATCATAAACATTTTGACGGTAAGAAACGAGCATAATTCAAAAATGTCTTTGACTGTACTGGTGGTCCCCAAATTAATTTTTCCAGGCTACTTTCTTACTCATGGAAGCAATGCATGTACCATAGAATACGTATCCATAAGAGGTGTGCTTTTGAGGGATTTTCTGATTGTGGCTCTTTCATACCTGTTCAGTAAAGCCACTGTATTATTATTTGTTTCCTCATTCTTGCATGTTATTGTACATATTTTCAGTATTCGCTACTAATATTTTGTCATAACTGATAAACAGCAATTCTCTTTTGAGTAATATATATATATATATACTCTAGGCATTATGAGAGATTAGTTTGAGAAAGTTGTAAATTAACAAACATTCATTGTATTTGAGAATGTGAGCTATAGAAATTTATCTGTAATTGTATGCTGCCTTTCAACTGATGAATACCCCTAAGGAAAAATATGGTGAGATTGGCAGATGGAGCTGAACTTCTGAGAGATTGCCCCCAGCTGTTATAAAGTTGTTAGCTTGGTAAAAAGGAATATATATATATATATATATATAATTTCCATGTTTGTTCGTCAAACATCAGTGAGTGGAGCAGTTCATCTCAGTATTGTTTCCAAAGAGTATCAATGACAGGAAAATTATCACAGCTGAAAAGGCAAAGAGAGAATGGGAAAAGTTTGAGTGACTACCTCCCAAGAAAGAAACAGGGAAAACAGACAAATCTATATGGAAATCTTGGATCTCTACTGACTAGTGGAAAAGATAGATGATCAGCTCACCTGATTCTGTTTTAGCTATACAAACCTTTTAATAAGTAACATGGAAATTCACAGGTGTGCTTAGCTTAAGGTAGGTTACAGCTCCAGTAGCTCCATTTACTATCAAACAACTGTGAAGTAAAATAATTGGCTAGAACCAAGGTTTGCAATAAACAAACGGATGGAATTTTTGTTGAGTATCTTCATCAAAATATGATCTACCTGTGTTTGTGGTGTTGGTAGTGGTGGTTGGTTGGTTTTGTGTATGAATCTTTTCTTCTGGGCCATACATGGAGTACTGTGTCCAGTTCTGGACTCCCCAGTACTAGAGAGACATGGAGCTACTGCAGTGAGTCTGCAGAGGACTGGAGCATCTTTTACGATGGAAGTCTGAGAGAGCTGGACCTGTTTAGCCTGGAGGAGGGAAGGCTGAGAGGGGATCTTATCAATGTATATAAATATATTTTGGGTATCAAGATGATGGGACCAGAAGATTTTCAGTGGTGCCCAGTGACAGGATGAGAAGCAATGGCTACAAGCTGAAACACAGGAGGTTCTATCTGAATATGAGGAGAAACTTATTTCTAGTGAGGGTGGTAAAACACTGAAACAGGTTGCCCAGTGAGATTGTAGACTTTCTTTCTCTGGAGATACTCAAAACCCATCTGGATATGATCTTATTCAACCTGCTCTAGGTGGCCCTGCTTGAGCAGCAGGATTGGATTAGATGATCTCCAGAGGTCTCTTTCAACCTCAATCATCCTGTGATTCTGTGAACCCCTATTGATTGTCCCAGGAATGCCAATTCATCAGTTCCAAAAAAAAAATAAAAAATAAAATAGTTTCATGAGGGATCAGAGCAGTAGGGTTATAAGCAGAAAGGCTTTTCTTCTCAAGGAGCAGTAAAGCTGCAACCAGTATAAACTCAGATGTCTCATCACTTCAGGAAGATTGGAAGGGAACGTAATTTGATCAAAAATCAGCCCCGTAATTAGGTATATTAGAGGTGTTGTGTTATATTAAGCAGCCAGATATAAATTAACTTGAATCCAGAAGACTTATTTTCCTGCTACAAAGCCATATCCTGGTAATAAGAACTCAGGACTCATAGAATGTTGAGTTGGAAGAGACCTTAAAGACCATCTTGTTCCAACCCCCCTGCCATAGGCACAGGCACCTCCCATCTGACCAGGTTGCTCAAGGCCCCATCCAACTTGGCCTTGAACAATTCCAGGAATGAAGCATCCACAGCTTCTCTGAGTAACCTGTGCCAGTACCTCACCACCCTCATAGCAAAGAATTTCTTTCCAATATCTAATCTAAATCTATGCTTCATTTAGATCTAGTTAGATTAGCCATTCTCCCTTGTCTTATCATTGCGCTCCCTGAAAGAGATTCTCCCCAGCTTTCCTGCAGGCTCCCTTTAGGTACTGGTAGGTCTCTATAAGGTCTCCCCAGAGCCTTCTCTTCTGCAGGCTGAGCAACCCCAATTCTCCCAGCCTGTCTTCATAGGAGAGGTGCTCCAGCCCTTTGATCATCCTTGTGGACCTTCTCTGGACTTGCTCTAACAGGTTCATATTTCTAGACTTGAACTAAAAAGCCCTGTATATTTGAAATATCAGGTGTTTTCCTTATAGTTTCTCTGTTTAATGTTCTGTCAATAAATAAATAAACAAATAAATAGCTAGACAGCAAATTACTTGCTGAGAAGTCAAGGTGTGCATCCTAACGTGATGATAAAAATATTTTGTAAAAGTTATGATCACGTAATTTTACTGTATGCATTCAGTTGATAAATTCCCTTTGCATATGCTACCCTAAAGGATTTAATAAGAATATAGTTCCTGATACATTTTACCCTTATGAAAAGTGGTCTTCTTTCCTCCACAAAAGATTATTTAGCTTGCCTTAATTCAAAAACTATTGCTTAGTTTTTGTTGTTGTTTTCCTTCATGGAAAGAATTATAAGTTTACATTGATGAAATTCCTTTGTACAGATGTGTAAGTGCAACAGTGAAAGTAGGAAAAAATCAGCAGGGTGATAGAAAACAGCCATCGTTCAGACTTTTTCTGCTTTTCTCTGAAATGTTGCAGGTCTATTCAAAGCAGGAATATTGAAAACATATTTTTAGAGTGACTAAATTTAACAACACAATCCAGAGAAAAACAACCCCTAGGTGATCTGCTTTTTATAAAATACATAAATAGTTTTTGAGAATTACTTATAGAAACAATATATCTTATTCTTCCGTTTCCTTTATGTAATAACATTGAGGTCCTGAGGGATGACAAGAAAAAATAGTTTCATTTACTAGGGCTTGAAATTTAGTAGTTTTAAATCTATAATTTTGTGACAGAATGGCACACCATTATTTTCTATTTGCAATTTATGTCCAAGACAACAGGAAAAAGTCTAGCAGCATTGTTGATACTATAGATCTTTCTTCTTATTTTTTTCTTTTCTTGTTTTTTTTTTTTTGTTTGTTTTTCCTGGGGGAGGGGGGAGGAGGAGGGGTGCCAATTCTATAAATAATTGATACTGCAATGTTTATGTATTGAAATATATAGTAATGTTTTCCTAGGGAAGTGACCAATTTTCCAAACTGGAATAAAAATCTCTGGACCAATATTCTGATAGTGGCTGCAGGTACGCATTTCATCACTCCAAACAAGCACTACAAAACAACTTTATAAATATCTTAAAAGACATCAACTTTCTGTAGGAAACCCTGTGATTTAAGTTTTTCAAAAATGTAAGCCTAGATTTTGTAATAATTTATGTATGTACAGTAGGTGTATGTAGAAATGCTATCGATATATAAGTGCAATGTTTAGATATTTAATGTATTATTATAATTAATTTTCCTTCATAAGTAGACTAGTTAACCTGGTAGAAAGGGAAATGTGGTAAAAAACTATTTATTCATTGCACTATGCTTGATGGAAGTTACATTGTCCTTACCAGGTAAGCCGTGGCTACAAAGATAAGCGGTACCATGCTTGGGAACTTTGGACAGGGAGTGTGAGAAGGTGCTGTGGCTTGTAAGGACAGATGGAACCTCCTCAGCCACCCCTGTTGATGGAGAAACTTTGGCCTGTTTCTTCCTGGTAGGGCTGCCTGTTCTGTCTGCATCCCCTGCTCCTGGACTCACATGCTCACCTCCAAGGGTTCTGCCCCTTGCTTGTGCTGCAGGGTGAGTGATCTGCTGCTCAGGCTGCATTTTAACTGTTGTAGACCAGAGAGTCAAAAAACAATGAAAACAGGGGAGTGAGATCTTTGTAAAGTGAAAATAAAAATTTTAATGAACTGTTCTGCACAACTTAACTTGTAATTATTGAATCTAGTATTTGGGAATCCTACTGTGCTGCACAATACTCAAGCACTGAAAAATAAGCAGGCATTGCTTTAATGAATTATAATATGCAGTTCATATTGCATTACTTCTCCTTTTCCTTACTTTTTTATGTAAAATATCTAGTTACTATTTTTTTTAGTGTTTCAGCAAGCATTCAACATTTCCCTGTAAACAGGATATTACCTTGTTTATAGCTGTAATGCTGTTAGATTTTAGTGAAATATTAGCTATGAGTAAGGGGTGGAGGGAATGTCATTTGATATATATATATATCCCAGGAATCAGTTTTTATGGTTTTATATATAGAGAATCCAAGGGAACCTCAGCATAACCTCCACAAAGAAAACTCTTATTGTTATGTTTCATCATTGAGAAATGTTTATGTGTCCCATAAGATTTCACTCAGATGTTTAAATAATTTGTATAACCTTTTGGTCATGTAATGTATTTGATTTATCTGAAATGATTGTAGACAAGAAATTTCATCAGCTCTGCTTTGTTTGAGAGTTCTCTCATAAAGTAATGGAAAGAACGTAGTTCTTAAGTTATATTAGACTTAAAATAATTGTAAGCAGCTACCACAAATGCTATATAAATTGTGGGTTTTCTCCTAATTTCATCAATACTGTACGCTTACCTTAGATGCCTGGTAAAATTTGATTAAAAGAAGACATGCATTTTTTGTAGGTAAATCTTTAGTCTGTCTTTTCTAAAGTGGAGTAAGTTTTAAACATCATCTTCATGGATGCACAAGGAGATCACAGGAAGATTCCTTTGGGAGCCCCCACGACCTGGACAAACACAGATGCATCCCTGTGCTCTTTTGAGTACAGGGACTGCTCTCTGTATCTCTACGTGGCTTTTTTACGTATAAATTTCACTGGTAAGCCTTTTCACTTTGTTAAAATTAACTGCATCAGCACTAATATCCAGCTGTGTTAAGATTTAAGTACTATCAATAGTATCTCATATGCTACCTATTATTCAAGCATGACTTTGATTAAAATGTTTTTGTACCCAGGTGTGAACAAAAACACATTTTGGAAGGTATCATATCTCTATCCTTACACTTGAATTGTTTAGGATGCAACATTGGCTGCTGTACCTCTTCTGTGTTGGTACATACATGGTTAGCATTAAGCAGTGAAACTACAGAGGCTGGCAAAACCTAATCTTTCTGTCCTCAACCAGTCCCTCTGGTGAGGAAATGTATTGACTTCTATAGAAGAATAGAAGATGCTGATAAAAGGATTGCTTAGCCCTAATGAAAAGGCTTAAAAGAGTTAGAAGAACATCCTGCAAAAAGCAGACCTAAGCTTCACCCCTTCTCATCAAGCTGTCAAGGGAGTTTGCACACCACACAGCTCAGGATTTTATTTCAAAGGAGTACAACTGGGGTAGTCCCATTTATAGTTGCTTAAGAATTTAAAAAAAAAAAAAAAAAAAAAGTCCAAGAAAAATGAGGACATTGTTGAAATAAAAGAATTTTTATATGATTATTTTCAAAACCTGGTACAAAGGAGGACCAGTCTCAGTGAACTCACAGGAACTATTTTGATATTAAACAAGTCAGAAGGAGACTGAAGGCAGAACTGTCAAATTAGTTCTCTTTATTCTCATAATGATAAAAGCTCATGACTGCTCATTATGCTAGGAAGAAAGACATTCCTAGTAAATTTATTAGTGAAAAGCAAGTGCTTTAATTCATGATCTTTCCTATGCAAACATTTTTTGCTAAAATTCCTGGAGGACTCACGATGGAAAGGATTAATTCCAGTAATGACATACTAATGTACCTGGCAATAATGGTTGTTCTGGACTGTTAAGAGGTTACGAAGATTAACAGGACAAATTCTTCAAACAGAGTTGAGTTATGGTAAATCAAAGTCTTTTGTCTTCTTTAAGATGAATCATTACAGAATAAATGAGAATATTAGATGGTGGTACTCAGTTTTGATGTTGCTTCTAGTTTTGCTTAATCGCATCTCATAAATATATTTTTGGGGTTGGACTAGATGATTAAAGGTCCCTTCCAACCCAAAACGTTCTATGATTTTATGATACTTTTGTCTTGGAAACCTATCAAACTGGGTATTTTTGTTCTGTTTCTTTTCCATTTCCTCCCCATCCTGATGAAAGATTGTATTTTAGCAGTGTTCCTTTGGAGGATCCACATATAGTAGAGCTCCTATTCTATGTAGGACACAGAAAGAGTTAAAACTACCCTACAGGCAGGGCACTTCTGTTCTGCAGTCATACCATAGGACAGAATAATTCCTGGGGCTGAACAGCTCTTATAAATAGAGTGAATTTTGAAATCCTCTCCTTTTGACTGGCCAGGGCAAAATACTGTATAGTTTCAGAATTTAGGAAAGTAAAGTAAACTAATTACTTCACCCAGGTTGTCCTTACAGCAGGACAGCAGGCTGCTCTTCCTTGACCAGCTCAGCTGTATCATGGTGTTTGGAATGCCTGTGCAATTCTGTTGAAACTGAAATCTGGTAGCTCAAGTATGCATTCAAACTTGATTCATCTTTGGTGCATCTGTTTTCTGGTAAGTGTTTTGATGTGTGGGAATGGGAAATCTTAACACCTTGTAAGATGATTTGATATGTGAGAAAACTACATTTCACAGCAAGATAAATAGCAACTCATCAAACTTGGCAGATACCAAAAAAGTCTCCCAGTAGCCTGGGGAATGAAGAGGGTGGGTCATTCTTGCACTCCAGTCTCTTTAAAAGTAGTGTGGTACTGGAAATTTGTCACAATGCCTATGGATTAACAAAAGTTTCAATTATGGCTAAAAAGCCTTTGAGACTGAAGCTGTTGTGGTTATCTCTTAGAAGCACCTGTCAAAGTCATTGAGGTCTATTTATTCCTTACTATGTTTTAGGAACATTTTGAATTGTCATATTCCACCTGTTCTCACAACCACAATTCTTCTTGTTACTCAAAAACCATCAGATTTGTAGCCTCGTGGCACAATCAAGGTGTCAAACAAAATTTGATTTTTACCTCTTTATATTCCTCTGAAGTGCAGGTGACTCTGACTTGGCAGCAGTATTCTATACAGAAGCAAAGTCTCAGGGCTTCCAGGTACAATAAATGATCCTCAGTGGAGAGTTTGTGCAATACATCTGGACGTAACTTTAATGAAGTAAGCCAGAAAAATTACATTTTACAATCACAATGTGGGCTTTATTTGAGAAGGAAGAGAGCTACAAAACATATTTAATTTAACAAAGAACAGCCACATTGGAATAGAATAACATTTTATGGATGTTATTGAATTTGATAATTAAATATATCCTTTAAAGTAGTTCAAGCTCTTGGTCAGCCATCTGTAAATTTTATTTTGAAAAGTCACTGAAGCCTCAGCCTCACTGAAGTCAATAAGCCACTCGACTAAACTAAGATTTTTCATCAGTTCAGACTGTGGATTTCTTTTGACAGTCTGTAGAAAGTACCCAGGCTATGAACCAGCCACAGTCTTTAACTTCTAGCAGTCTAGAATAAGTCAAAGCCACTGTGCCTCCATAGTCATTGACTATAATTATTTAAATGTAACTAGATGTGCACAAAATTTTCTACATTTAAGATTTTTGACTATGTACATTATCAAAGACAATTCTGATGAAAACAAGTGTTGTTGAATCTTTCACATTTTCTAGCTACTTAGTAGCTTTCACCAAAACTGCATTTTGAAATCTTGAAAAATCCCCTGCAGTCTCCTTTCCATCACTGGCATATTTTTTTTTTTCCACAGTTTATGATAATAATGTATATGCTTTACAGTTGATCTTAGTTCTGCTAACTTCTGATGGCTAAAATGTCAGACAAAGCTTTATTATCAGCTTTTGCTCTCTTTGATATTTATTGGTACCATTTTCTGCCTCCTTTAGTTGAAATACCAAAGATATTTTGCTTCAGTTACTTGTTCATTTCTGAGCCACTTAAAAGTTAAGCCTTTAAAGAAGAAAAATAATATTTCTTCAAATAACCTAAATGATAGTATAAATGCAGATGAATGACACTTGTTCCTGTACCTAGCATTTTGTCTAAATATGTGTTTTTGGCTATGTGAGGCAATTGAATCTCTACTTTCCTAAGAGTTTTTCAGTATGAAGTGTCTAGATGTTAATGACAGAGCACTACAGGAATCTTCCTCCAGAAAGCATATCTGTTGAGCAGCTTTGAATCATACATTTTAATCTTTCTGAGTTCAGGTGGTCAGTAGGGTATCTATTTCCGTCCCTACGCTTCATTATGTGAACATTACAGTAGTGCTGGAAAAAGATAGACCCTCAATGAATCTTATGAAAATATTGCAGTGTTCAAATGTATTATATTATTGATATTAATAAGATGAAAAATTAGACAGTACAAAGCATGCTATGATATTTTTCAATTCAGAGAAAGAAGCTTTCCTCAGAAGACTTCTAAAGGAAAATATGACAGCAGGGAAATAGATCTGAAGAAATTTTCTTCTTCTTCTTCTTCTTATTATTTTTAAGTTTACAAACCAGAGAATGATGGTCAAAGAATGTAGAGTGTAGGTTAAAATGCATTACTGAAATAGCTACACATTTTACATAAACAGAAGAAAAGTCTGTATCAGGATTGACAAATAATGTGTTTTCATATGGAGATAGTCTAGTAAAAGAAAGTCCAGCATGCTACAGAAATGCAAAGAATAGTGAAGTGTTTCTGTTTATGAAAGCAACTAGCAACTCACTCTCTTTTAAAAAGGTTGAAACCCTCTTTACCACAGGGATGATATGACAACAAAGAAGAAAATTGACAGGGAACTCAAGTCAGAAAATGGTACTTCAGACTGTAGAAGGAAATCAGTTTAGTTCAGTACACTGTGTATGATACACTGCTGAGGAAAACATGTACAGTACTTTAAAACATTTAATATGGTTAACATTGAGCTTCTGGATATTTGTATTAGCCATCCTGTTGCAGTTGAGACATGAGCAGTACTGGATGTCAGCAATATTGGGAAAGGCAGCACAGAATTTCTTCCAGCCAGTGAAGTTATAGTTCACCTGCCTTGGCAATATTGAGGATATGAGACGTTTGCCATCTTAGCTATGCAAGTGTGGCAAGGGGAGCAGGGCCAGCTCTTTGCTGTGTGGTTTACCTTTGCAGACAAACATCAAATTCTGTTGTTTAGGCAGCTGCCAGAACAAGAAGGAAAAATCTTGGCATATTAACAAAACAACTGTTCAAAGGCAATAAGCAATAGCATCAAGCCCTGGCTCACCAACATCCTTGTATTCTTCTTACGTAGTCAACTGCATGACAAAGGATGATGTTTTGTTGTGGATTGCTCTATGCTGGATTTTTTTTTTTTTTTTTTCTAGTTTGGCTAGTTACAGACATGATTCTTTACAGTGCCTCTCTGCCAGTAAAAGCCTTCTCATTGAGGCTGCTGTGATGTACTTTGAGGAACATGTAAATAATACTAACAGAATTTCGTTATTCTCAGCAGTAGTTGTGACTGCAACGTGAAGTTTTGTTGGTATATCTATAATAGTAAATCATACCTAATTTAGACTAAACACCAAACAATGAGGAGACCAGCTGATCAGCAGTCATTCTGATACCCGATATAATTTGAGTTTTTTCAAAATCCTTGGGGGATTGAGAAGACAAAAACATACCTTTTACAGTTTCAAAGTAGTTTGGTCTTATTAGTAAATGACACCTTTCTGGCTATAAGACTTGTTATTAAGAACTCTGCTACTCTTACCTGAAAAGCTATCAACACTGTAGAATAGCCAGTAGTTCTCTAGTTACATGTAGGAAGAAAAGTTTACTTACTGCAATCCATTCTCAATTTCAATCTCTTGTGTGTATCTTCTGTCAGTGCTGCACATATGAGGAGGAAAAAAAAAAAAAAAAAAGGCAAGCATAACCAATACAGAATTCACAGAATTTACTATAAAGGAATCTTACACAAAAAATCAGCCCTTTAATTTCACACTTCATACCTAGGTGCTCCTTCATTGAATTGTGCAATGAAGAAAGTAGGGCAAAAAGGGCTTATGTATTACTAATGCACTTGATAAAGTAGGAGAAGGTTTTATGATAATAGAATAGAATCATAGAAGGTGTGATTTAGTGAATGATTACTACCAAACAGCACAGTTGCTCATTTTAATATCCTGGATGGAGAGTTTTTGCCAAAGTAACTTAGTACTGAGTCCACCTAGTTACTACGATGTCACGTTAGACAATGGAGATTACAATTTGGTGCTGTACACATGAACTATAGCAAGTCCTTTGCTCTTCACAATATACTAGCAAGTACACACACTCATTTATCTCAACAGTTGATTGGGAGAGAGGTTGGACAAAAGGAATCACTATTGACATTAAAAATTGGAAATATATTTTTTTTTCTGTCTACTTGCTGTTGAGTGGTTGTGACAATCTAGCT